TACTTGCATACTGCTGCTTATACTCCCCTCGGTAGAACGTAAACCCCTTGAGGGTAGGTGATCCTTTCAGTTTTTGCCCTTATATCCCAGTGTCCTCATACAGGACTGCTTAAGAATGGCTTGAATTGGGCCAGTCAACTAACCTCAACAACGTTAGCCAGAAAACGCAGACAAGTAGTTCATCACAGCATTAAGAGGGTATCACAGCGCACAGAGTTTTGGGCTCAGAGGGGAAGATCTGAGTTCAGATGCAACACTTACAAGCTGGTTGACCCAGGGCAAAGTCATTCACCTGTCTACCTCAATTTCCCCACCCTTGCTCTAGACCCTTCATCAAATCAGCCACTATTGTGAGCATTTTAAAACGGCCAGCTTTCCAGTCTGTATAGTTCAATACATGTGTGCCAATGTGAATGGGATATTAAAGATGCTCATACAAAAGGCCAAAGGTAAAACTTTAATAGGCTTTTAGATTCTCAATGTTAAAAAAAAAAACATTTAAATTCAAACTGAGGTGACACTCTGGTCCATAGGAAGGGGTCACCTGAGTTCAAATCCTGCTTTTTTTGGGGGGAAGGGGTAGGCAATATGGTTAAGTGACTTGCCCAGGGTCACACAGCTGGTTACGTGTCTGAGGCTGAATTTGAACTCAGGTCCTCCTGACTCCAGGGCCAGTGCTCTATCTACTGCACCACCTAGTGCCTCTAAATCCTGCCTTTGACACTGATTCTGGGGGACGGCCTTGGGCGAGGGCCCTTCTTTCTCTCAACGTGTTTGTTTATAAAGTGGAGAGCCCACCAGCCTCACAGGTTAAGGTGTGGCCTCAAAGTCAAAGCAAGTCACCGAAGGGTTCTACAAATGTCAGTCGTTATCAACGCAATGATCCTGATACAGTGCTTTTAAGTCACGGTCCTCGCTCTCAAAACCTTTTCTGTAAAACATGGGCAGGAGGAAGGAAATGAGGACTGTAGCAGATCCAACAGATGGAGTCAGATCATTTGTACACGCCCAGCAAAAAGTCACTGAGAGTTGTTCAAATACAGAGGCGCTGGTGGTTAAGTTTTACCTTGGAGGTAAGGCGTGTTTACAATGGATACTGTATTTTAAAGCATCATCTTTGTAAAAAAAATACATATATACACACATATAAATGGAATAGTATTCCTGCCATCTGGATGCTTTCTGTTTTACGTTTAATGTTCTTGTAACAGCCTACCAAATATCTGGTATTTGGTAACCCTAAAAGGGCCTATGCTGCAAAAAACCCCCAACAAAACAAAAACACCCCACACGACCTATCTCTCTCTCTCTCTCTCTCTCTCTCTCTCTGTGTATGTGTATAAATTTCTATACTCCATTTAGAGATCTGAGAGGCAAAAGGCTACAAAGGACTGGCCTTGGAGTCACGAAGGCCTGCGTTCAAGACTCAACACTGACTTTGGGAGCCTGGGCAAGTTCCTTAACCTCTCAATATTCTAGGTAAGGCCAAGAATTGCCCTGGCAGACGAAGCTGCTCGTTGAGGCACCACATGCCACCAGAACCACAGATTCAGTCCCTGTTCCTAGCTCCACATGTAGTGAGAAGGGTGATGCACAATCAATGGGCCTTAGGAAATAAATAAGAAAGGCTTTCCCCCTTTTATTCTATCTCCCTTATTTCAAACAAACAGAGCCTTGGTGGTGAAAGAGGTGCACATCTAGGCTGATTGATGGTCATGTTCCTTTTGTACCTTAGCAAAGTCTCAGCTGTGACCAGCGACACAGACTATGGGCTGGTCATTTCAACAGAAACTTTGTCTTCAGTTTCAGTAGCCTGAGAGCACAGCATAGGGAAATCCCTGAGGAGCCTCATCAGAAAGGCCATCAGCCAATCTGGAGAACTGAACCAGGTAGGCCTTGCTTCCAGAAGACCCACTGAATGCTTCTCCTAGACTTCTGGAGCTTCCAGCCTTCAGACTTTGGACACAACACCTCTCATTTTACAAATGGGGAAACTGAGGCCCAGAGGGGAAAGGTCATTTGCCCATGGCCATCCTGATTGCTCGTCCCAGGCTATACCACTCGCTCTACTGGAAAAGTCGGTTTTGAAAACCCTTACACCACTCTCTTTCTTCTATGAAGAAAAAATAAAACTTGAAATCTTAAGACAACACTGTTATTGTTTTAGAATCCTCATGATTCCCAATATTTGTTTCAAAACAAAATGACTTAAACTTGGGTTATACCAAGCCTAGTACTTAATAATTTCTCAGGTAGTATAAAACACAAAGCAAAAAACACAGTTAAATAACACGGTCCATAGAGGCTTGGCGGTGCATTGACAAGGTTTGCCCTATTTCAATTACAAGGACTAGATTTTTTCTAGTCCTTTTCAGACTTCATTTTTCTCATTTGCCAGAGAAAAAGAAAAAGGCACCTGAGGCCACTGGCCAGGGTAACCTCCTAGGAACCACCTCCTTTGTTGTTCAAAGGTAATATTGGCATTTGGAGAACCTCAGACCCGTGCTAAAGAATTCAGATTCTCGGCTGCATGTCTGCCGAAAAGCAGCACGAATCAAAGTGAATGCGGAAGCCTGAGAAGCCCTTCTCACTGTCTGGTTAGAGGAAGTTGTAACTATTCACTCCATCAAGGGAGCCTTAAAAGGAGAGTCTCTATCAGAACACGTGTAAACGGTTAAGATAAACGGATGGTTCCCTCACTCTTGCCAATTTAAAAGGACATGAAGCAAATTGGAATTATAAAACTCCTAGCCCAAAAACAAACTGTACCCCCGAGAATTTGAAGTTTTGTTAAGACAGATGAAGAATAAAAAGACTTTTCATTAACAACTATTCAAATGCTCGGAACCTCACACTCGGCTTAAGCTCCTCACTATACATATTTACAGTATTTATAAATATATCACAGTTAAACACTGACCTGTATTTACAGTACTGCCTTCCCCCAGAGACATACCCGCCAATGGCTCATTAAATACAGTCACTCCAAAATAAAATCCAAACAAGTTTTACCTGCTACAACAAATATTGCTAACGTCGGAGGCAAAAGAACAGATTAAGGGGAGTTACAATTGCCTTGGCAAGAATATTTTTTTACTGTATGGTGTAAAAGGGGTCAAAAAGTGATTTCCTTTTCAGCCATTAAAATATATTTTTTCCCCTCCAAGTCTCAGCTTTGTTTAGAATGAGATGAGGAAAATTTATTCAGTCCCACCCTAGAATATACACACTCTTGATTCCTTTGGCATACATGACTAAAACAGAGGTCAATTTTAGTTACTGGTATTTTGAAGTTTGTCTCCCTTCCTAGGTAACGGGGCTGGGGAGGCTGGCCTGGCTCAGAATTAGAAGAAGAGGTCATGTGACCACCGTGTGCAACTTTCAATAAATAAACCCAAGAAATGACGGATAATCAACCACTTCTTCCTGTCCAAACACCCAGGGCGGCGTCTAAGGTCTTAGCCGCTCGGGGGTTGACGCTGGCTCCACACGCGGGCTTCGGCCGAATGTGAGCTGCAGTCAGGGAGGCTCGGCACTCCGGGAGCGTCGGCGTCCTCGCGGTGCTCTGGGAGGCTGCTCCGGGGAGGCGTCGGACCTTGGCAGCCTGCCCGCCGCCCCGTCGGGGAGCTGCCTCGGCGCGTGGTCCCGGTCCCGGTCCCGCAGCTGCACCTGCAGCCGCCGCCCCTCCCAGCCTCCTCCGTCCTCCGCCCCGCACGTCGTCGAGACGGCTCAGGGGACGCCCTCGCGGCGCCGGCAGCACTGCGACGGCGGCACGTCCCAGTCGTAGACGTAGGAGAGGCGCAGGCGCACCTCCTGCGGGCACAGGCGGCCGTCGCGGGCCAGGCTGCGCTGCTTGGCGCGCATGTCGTCGGGGCTCTGCTTGTGCGTCACCAGGTACTGGTTGCTGCAGCCGCGCGAGCGGTACTCGGTGTCGAAGCGCGGGTCGTGCTCGCGGCGCACGTCGAGGGGCGCCAGCCAGGCTCCCAGCGACACGTCCTCGCTGCGCCAGCGCTGCAGCACGTCGCGGCTGCGGCTCACGAAGCGCACCAGGTCGGCCGAGAGCACGTAGCCGCCGCCCAGCGCGTAGGGCAGGTAGTGGTCGCAGAGCAGCCAGGCGGCCTCGCGCCAGCGCCCGCCCGCCTGCACGCGCCCGCGCCCGGAGAAAAAGCCCCAGTAGAGGCGGCGGCGCCGCTCCGGCTCGCGCGCGCGCAACTCGTCGCGGAGGGCGCCCAGGCGCGCGAACGTGTCGTCGTCGGCCTTGAGCACGAAGTCGAAGGCCACGTGCTCGTCGAGCCACGCGAACATGGCCAGCACCTTGGCCGTCAGGTTCTCGTAGGCGTCGCGCAGGTGCGGCAGCAGCAGCAGGTCGCCGTGGCGCGCCTGCTCCCGCTCCAGCGCGCGCCGCTCGGCGGCCTCCAGCCCGGCCGTGCCCACCACGAAGCGCGCCCACACGTCGGCCAGCGGCCCGGGCCGTCCGGCGCCCGCCAGCCACGTGCCGCGGACTGCGCTCCGCCGCTCGGCGCCCGCAGGCGCACTCACCACCAACACGGCAAGGAACGCGCGCTCCGCGGGCTGCCCCGCTTCGGCCGGCGCATGCGCCGCGGCGGCCACGCGGCCGACCCCCGCCGGGCCCTCGGGCGCGCACCTGGCCAGCCAGAGCAGCGCGCCCGCAAACAGCGCCAGACCGGCCAGCGCCAGCGCCGTGCGGTGCCGGCACACGAGCCGCGGCAGGTTCATCGCGCCCTGCCGCACGCGGGGCTGCGTGCGCACCTCCTCTGCGCCGACCTTCGCCGGCCTGCTCCGAGGAGGGGGCGTCCGGCGGGCGGGGGCGGGGGGGGGGCAGCGCGCGCCGCTACCGCGCGTGCGCGAGACGGCCTCCCGCCTAGTCTGTCATCGCGGACCGTGACGCGGTGACGCGCCTCGCTCCCGTGGGCGGTGCTCTCCGCTCTCGGCTGCCGACGAGAAAGTGAGAGGGGCGGGCGCGCAGACTCGTAAGGAGGCCGGCGGAGGCGTGCCTGCGGCCGAGGGCGCTGAGGTGGCAGGGCTGAGGGGCGGGGTTGGGACTGGCCCGGGTGGCATGTGATGCAGGTAGTTTCCGCCGCCTCTAGCACGTGGGAGGATCCCGTCATCTTGGTCTCTTCCGCCCGGGGGAAAGATGGCGGCGCGCGGGCGCTATAGGCAGTGAGAGAGTGCGGCAGCCATCACCTCCCCGCCCCCTTCCCTGAAGAAAGATGGCGGCCGCCTGTGTGGGCTTCCGTTGACGGTGTCGCTGACTTTGCTTCTGGACGCCTCGGGGCTCGGTGAGTGACGTGCGCCCAGCGTGGGGCGGCCCGGACTTGGCCGCGGGGCAGGGGGCTCGTGGGTCCCGGTGTCACGGGCCGTCCGGCCTGGAGGGGCCCTGGTAGGAGCTCTCTGGCGACGGGGAGCTCACTTCCCAGTCACGGAGAGTCGGATTTGTCGGGGCTGGAGGGGACCCGGGTCACGCACTTGACCGGGCTGGAGGGGGCCGTCGGGGGTCACGGGGTCACCGACTGGAGGAGGGACCTTGGCGGTCAGCGTCTCGCCCCTGCCCCAAGGAGGGGTCACTAGAAGACCTCTGGCGATGGGGAGCTCACTCCCTCCCCTCAGTGCCCATCCCCCCTCCATCGTCCCGCTGAGCCTCCCCTGGCCCGCCCTGGGGTTCTCCCCTGCACACGGCTGGCCCCCCGCTAGGCTGAGATCAGGCACTGACCTTTCTGTTTCTTTGTATCCCCCGAGTTTGGTGCGGTGCTGAGCACACTGTGGGCGCCTGATAAAAGCCTGTTGACTGACTGAATGTGAGCCTCCGTAGCTTTAGAGCTCTGGAAAGGGACTTTGGATCTCATCTAGACTCGAGAGGTGGGGGGTGGGCCTGTGAACTAAGCCTAGAATGCCCTTCCGCCAGTGGTCATTTGGTGTTGTTTATTCACTCACAGCGCAGAGATTTATTTTGATGTCTCTTAAAGGTACTTATTTCTTTAGCAGGATCACAAATTTTAGAGTCAGAAGGGATCTCAGGGGTCTTCTAGTCCAACTCCCTAATTTTTCAGTTAAGGAAACTGGAGCCCAGCGAGCTGAGTGTGGGAGCTCGTGTCAGAGCCATAACTCCAACCTGGATCCTTTGAACCCAGGCCTTTAGGTGCTAGGGTTCAAGATGACAAAGACAAACAGTTCTCAGGGAGCTGATGTGCTAATGGGCTTTACCTCGTATTGAGAAAGCAAGCAGAAGACAGGGTGATTTCAGGTTGGAGAGACCTTGAACAGTTGAGAGAAGGACCAGAAAAGATTTCCTGGAGGAGACTGAGACTGACCCTCCACATAAGGTTGGGGGTTGGGGGAGTGTATGCAAAGAAGTGGGGGCGCAAAGCCGTGGCTGAGGCTGCCACACGGTGGGGTAGGAGGGGGAGTGCAATGTTGAGTTAGTGGAGCATCGAGTTTGGCCGGATCCAGATGGTGGAGGAAGGGGAGGAGAGGAAAATGTGTTCTTTAAGATTAATCCTGCGGTACATCCCTAAATCGGTCTCAAGTTGTTGTTTTGGGATCGTCTTTGGTTTTTCACTCATCTGTCTCTGCAGGTAATGGAATCAGCTGTGCTTACTTTTCAACTAGATGAAACCCTTCTTTAGGACAGAAGCAAAAGGAAGTTAGGGGTGTGAAAGAAATCCAAACCCTTTTATAGAATCTTATCCCTTTTAATTTTTTATTTTTTATCTGGCTTTGAAATGCAGAGTTAACAAGCAAGAAATTCCCCAGTTTTCTCCCCACCCCACTTCTCAAAACGCTTCCTCTCTTGATGCATGGATAGAATACTAACCTTACTCCACCCGTTCCTGGGACATAGGGAGAGCTCAGTCTCTTCCCTGCCCCTGCCTCCATCTCTTTGCCCAGAATGGGTCAGCTCATCTTGAATGCAGAGTGGTGACAGGAACTGGAGATGGGAGAGTAGGGGATACATGTGATATTGGAGCCCCTGTAGCTGAGGTGACTGAGTGGAGGGCCCAGGGAAGGAGCCTGTTGTCTCCAGACCCCCATGGGGCGAGTAGCCATCGCCATGCTTGCCTTTATGGACCCAGCTCCTCACCAGCATTGCTGTTCTGTTGCTCTGAGGGCCTGGGCCCCGGAGCAGGGTCTCTTGGTGCCAAATGCATCATCTGTTTGGCTTGTGAAAGGACCCTCTCCACCTGGATGACTCCCGCCAATGGTAACTGCTATCAGCTCCTTCTGCAGCAGGGAGCTAAGCTCCCTGGGGTTCTTGAGCTGAGCTGCAGTGGTTCTAAGGCCGGAGACTCCCAATGGGACACTCACCTGAGCTTGGGCTTCATGCAGGCTGCTTCTCTCCCCCGTTAGCCTCTTGGCAAACAGCTGTAGCTCCTCAGGGTCTTCTCCATTCTTCCGTGGCTCAAGCTTGCTGACCCCTGAAGTGGCCCCTCCACCCCAGGCTTTCTGTTGCTCCCTCCTCACAGCTAGTAGAAGAAGTTAGGGACCATTCCCCACCTGTTGGGTCTCAGCCTTACCCTTGGCCATCTGGGGGGAGAAAAGCCTTCCTGACCCAGGTGCTTCAGGGCTGAGCAGACAGGCTCTCACCCCCTTTTTATAGAGGCACAGATAAACATGGGGCAGTTCCCTGAAGCAGAGAGACCCAGGTGTTGTGGCCTCCAGTGTTTCTTGATTTCCATCAGTATGAGGCAGCTAGGTGGCTCAATGGATAGAGACCTGATTTCAAAACCAGCCTAAGGTACTAAGCTGTGTGACCCTGGGCAGGTAAGTCACTTAGCCTCTGCCTCAGTTTTCTCAACTGTAAAATGGTGGTGATAATGGCATCTACCTCCCAGGATGATTGTGAGGATCAAATGAGATAGTTGTGAAGTGCTCAGCACAGTGCGTGGCACATAGGTAGCTATATAAATGTTAGTTATTATTATTATGTGGACTGCTGTGGGATGGCATGGGGAAAGGAGGAGGATAGTGGGTCTTCTCCTTAGTTCCCCCAAATCTGGAAGTCCAGGAGGGAGATGGGGACTGGAGGTTGGATTGTTGGTGAGACCAGGGATTGATTGGAAAGACCTTCTTTGCTGTGCCTGGGTCAGAGGCTAGATCCCCTCACCTGGGAAGGGTGTTATTTATCTCTGGCCGGCTCTTTTCTCTGGTGCAACTGTACAGATGAAAGGACTTTACTTCTCATGATCTTCTTGTCCAAGGAAGCTGTTACCTGATCTGACCTCATCTGATTTTCTCAATTCAAATCCTGTTTGAGGGGGGCGGTTTGTGTCCTCCGGAGAGGTCTTCTGGGGACCCTGCTGCTGCCTGCTCTGGTCAGGGTGAGGGGCCTGCCTTTTCTTCAAGCCTCCCAGCTGCCCTAGGTGGTAATCAGGCTGGACCCACTGGGAGCCTAGGAGGAGATGCACGAATCTGTTGGGCCTTCTGCCTGTTATTTCATCTGATGACCTCACAACTGCCCCTGTGATAAGGGAGGCCTCGAAGGGATGAGCACCCCATTTATAGTTAAACTCAAGCATCAGAACAGTGAAGGGATACTTCCCCAAGGTTATAGGGCCATTAAGTGTTGGACCTGGGACTAGAAACTTGACCTTACTTAGATAAATTCAGAACTCTAGTGCAGTCCTCCTGGGAGAACAGGACACTTAGGTTCACCCTCTAGTGACTGTGTGAGCTTAGGGGTGTCCTTAGTAAGGTGGTGAGTCTGTGTGAAAGGATTTCTGGAGGCCTGTGAAGGGCTGGATGAAAAACATGGTGTACCCAGTCATCTAAGTAGTCAGCACATTCTTTTTGGTCACCACCTAGGTAGGTACCTAGCATTGTGCAAGGCGTAGCAAGTAACACAAAACAGCATAAAAGGCCCCTGCTCTAGAGGAAATTGTGTGTCTGTCTGTTTTCTAGACCAAACGTGTGCTGCTGATGGTTTGCTAATGTAAATATGCTCTCCTTCTGAAGGGATTCCGCCTAGTTGTAGCAATGCTTTAAATAATGAATAATTCCAAAGAGTTAAATTATGGTGCATGACAACAATAGATGCCACAAGGACACTTGTTTTTACTAAGGCCAGTGGTACAAATACTGAATGCTGTGAGAGTTTGGTGGAAGAAGAGCTCAGGAAGCTGGGAGATGTCTTTAGGAGGAGGGCCTTGATGGGCCTTGAAGACTGGTTAGTAGAAAAGATGAGAGGAGGTCATTCTCAGGAGAGGGCCCAGTGCCCACCCAGAGGTGGGACCCTGTGAGCCATGTCCGGGGCCAGTTTGAGGAAGTTCCTTTGAGTGAGGAAGTTGGGGTCACATTGGTGAGACAGGCAGGCCGACAGCAGGCATTTATTAAGTGCTTACTGTGTGCTAGTTACTGTGCTGATAGAAACTGATGTGTAGTGCTGCAGAGCGAAGGGAGTAAGCATTTATGTAGTGTCCGCCCTGCGCCAGGCACCGTGCTTAGCCCTTTACAATTATTGTCTTATTTTATGCTCATTGCAACCCTGGGAGGCTAGTGCTGTTATTACTTTATAGATGAGGAAACTGAGGCAATTTGAGGTTAGGTGACTTGGCAGGATAGCCAGGTGGTGCAGTGGACAGAATACTGGGTCTGGAGTTCAAATCTTGCCTCAGACACTTACTAGTGGACATGTCACCTGACCCTGTTTGCCTCAGTTTCCTTATCTGTAAAATGAGCTGGAGAAGGAAATAGCAAACTGCTCCAGTGTCTCTGCCAAGAAAACTCCAAATGGGGTCACGAAGAGTCAGAAATGACTTGCTGCAGGGTCAGTGTCTAAGGTTGGATTTGAACCTGTCTTCCTCATGTGCTTAACACTTGGGATACAAATCCAAAACAAAAAACAAACAAACCAAAAACCGGTTCCTCCCCTCAAGATGCTTCCATTGGAATGGAGTAAAGTTAATCCGCAAAAGGGGGTTAAAGAATTTGAAGGAAAGGCACCCCCATGGCAGCAGTGGCAAAGTCCTGAAAGAATCAGAAATTGTTGTTTGTCTCATTTTCGAAGAGGACTGCACCGTCGGGAAGATGATGCCATGGCTTGTGAGTGAACTGGGTTTACGTGAAGAGGACTGTGCAAAGGCACCAGCCTTACTTTTCTCCTCATAGATGAGGATGGCTGGAGACAGTCCAGGATGCAGTGGGAGGCCTTGGCCTTTTTTAAGCTAAAGTCTCTAACAGGTCTTAGTTTGACTGAGCAATGCTCATTCAGTGATTAAGGCTGCTTAAGAAATGAGCCAAGGAGTGTCTCCTTCTTTTTTAAAAAAAAAAATCAATCTGACTTTCT